TGTGCTTGGCTTTGCTAATTTTTTGATTTCATTTGCTTGGGCAATGCTTCTTCTTCGTGTGTTCATGTGAGACGGTTGGGTGTTTTTTCTACCAGTTGTCAGTTGGCTCTTTTACTTTGTTTGGATGTGAGTTGGTGGCATTTCTTTTGAAGGGTGTATCCCTCTCTTCTTCTTTGTAATACTTTATTAGTTACTAACAAAATGCAACTTTTTTGCTGAGCTGAAAAAAAAAAAAAAAAAAAAAAGCAAAGTTTCTTTTTTGGTTGGTTTGCTGACCTTTCGTGGGGCTAGCTGAGTGTTTTTACATCAGTGTACATGTCACATACGTTAAACATATATGGAGCTATTGGTAAGCTGTTGCTTCTTTATTTTTCTATTATTTGCTAGGCAGTAAATGACCTAAGATCTAGTGCAAGCCCAACCATCACATTACCACCTGAGCCAAAGGCCAGGACCCCTTCCATTTCTATTTGATTCCTTATGTCATAAAAATGGAGTTTGTTTTTTTAAATTCAATGAAAAAACTTTGAGTTTTAACCTGAAGAATTTGGTGTTACTGAACACATGGTTTCCAAGATCAATTGAATAAGAACAACAAATAAATCATTTTTGTAGTTTTGCTAGTAAGACTGGCTACTTTAGTGCGTTTTCTACATTTTTTTTCCTCTTGTGAAGTTTGTCTGGTCTCACTAGAATATAATTGAGAACTGGATTAATGGATCTACTTTGCACAATTTCCCAGACAAATAAAAGGTGGGTTATGATGTGAGTTTTAATCATGTTCCTCCTCCCTACACCAAATCTCTTCCTCCTACCAATCAAAAGTTTCTGTACAGTAAATCTTTGGAAGCAATCAACAGGCAGACTGGCACTACTAGAAACATTGATGTAGTCTATGAAGGAGGTAGGGTAGGTTCATGGGTTTGATTTCACAAGCTATTATTGATGGTGGTTGGCATGTTATTTGGTGAGACTTCCTTCACTTCCAATTCTTTAATTTGTGGCGTCAAAATTTTCAAAAAAAAAAAAAAATTGATATAAACTTGTTCCTCCAATTACATTTGATTAATTTTTCCATATATGTTGATTGTAGTTCCACAGCAGCACCAATTTCTAGAATTTTATTGCACCAATTTTTGTTGCTTTCTATTGCTTTCAATTTGGTGCAAATTTATCTTCAGGACTTTTGTGAGGTTGCATTATTCAGATTTTTTAAAGAATTTCGTTAGGTGCTTGTACTTGTAAGAAATGATTTATGATGTTTATAATAAATAATTATGTAAATATCCCGTTTGTAGTTTAGGTCAAATGGCATCGGATGTCAACAAAACTTAATGCACACGACTAATTAGGCACAAATGACTTGTAGGAAAAGACGAGATTCGAAACCATAGTGGTGTTAGGGAGATGACGGTGAGCCTACTAAAAATCTGGATATGTTATATTTGTTACATGCACTACTAAAAAAATCACTTTTTGCGACCGCTATAAACCGTCGCAAATAATAAAAAACAGTCGCAAAAGACTTTTTGCGATGGCTCATGCGACGGCAAATGGGGGTCGCGAATATGGGGGTGGCAAATACTTTTTGCGACGGCAAAACAACGGTCGCAAATTATTTGCGACCACCTAAACTACTTATGGGGACCGTTATTCTGCCGTCGCAAAAAACAAAGAAAAACACTAACATGATCTTTGGCGACCATCTTGTTACCGTCGCAAAAAATTAAAAATAAAAATAAAAATAAATAAATGAAAGTGTAGCGTTAAGCACTCTAGGAATAACAATGAAAAGAATTCAGACAGTATAACATTATAGTTTTATTGAACATTCTATTTGAGTCTCAAAATTTGAGCTACATGTAAAAGTTATTACAACTAAAAACTTGAAAAAAGTTCTTTTATGAAAAAAATACAATCCAGAACTAGCTAATCTTCTCATCAATTTTCTTGCTCGGGTGTTTCTCCACTCTATCAATGAACTGGCATAACACCTTGCACCCATATTCATCAAAATCATGTTGGCATTGTTTAATTTTTGCTTAAATTCAATTTAAGTTCATAGCTCTAACCCTTCCCAAGCAATTAGAATAATCTTTTGTGACCTGTTCTTTCTTAGCTTTTCTAAAGGACTAACAAAAGTACCTTCAAATAAATTTCTCTGTTTGATTGAAAATAGAATCTAGAAACAACCATTTAACATGTTCAAATATAGTAATTTATAATTAATTAAATGATCACAAATATCAAATTCCATTCAGCATTTGCAGTGTTCAATTGTTTCACTGATTAGAAATATAAAATGGAGAAAACAAGACAAACCTGGCCGGTCTCTGCTTTAAGCAAGATTGCATAAGCCAATATGGCTTCCTTGTACTACATATTGAGAGAAGGAAAAGAATCAGACCAAAAAATAATAAGAAAGAAAAGAAGGGAACAACCCATAGCATCTTCTCAATCATTTCCTTTTTCTTTTCTTTATTTATTTTTTATTTTATAAACACCTGTCTCTATCTTCTAGCAGAAAAAATGAATAAATAAATAAAATCATCAACTCACTTGCTGCTGTTCAGAAGCATCCAGAAGAAAGTGAACTGAGCCAAAGCCACTTGCTATGGTTTTCTCATAAAGTGTCTTGTTGACCAGAAGCTGTAATAATGCATTTCTTATAAAAATCATGTGGTAAACTAAAAACAAAAAAGGGTTAGTATGGCAATAAAGACGTCTACTTTTGTTCAAGATCAAGATCTCCACAGAAGACAGAACAAACTTGGTGAACTCACTTGATACCTATCCCATGTCTGTTTGTAACCCTAGCCACACGGGTCATATATTATAAGAGCACTGATTGCAATCACGTCTACTGGGGATGATCCCAGTGTAGTAGACCACAAGAAGTGCTCATGTGGCAATGTTGGCATTGTTTAATTTTTGCTTAAATTCAATTTAAGTTCATAGCTCTAACCCTTCCCAAGCAATTAGAATAATCTTTTGTGACCTGTTCTTTCTTAGCTTTTCTAAAGGACTAACAAAAGTACCTTCAAATAAATTTCTCTGTTTGATTGAAAATAGAATCTAGAAACAACCATTTAACATGTTCAAATATAGTAATTTATAATTAATTAAATGATCACAAATATCAAATTCCATTCAGCATTTGCAGTGTTCAATTGTTTCACTGATTAGAAATATAAAATGGAGAAAACAAGACAAACCTGGCCGGTCTCTGCTTTAAGCAAGATTGCATAAGCCAATATGGCTTCCTTGTACTACATATTGAGAGAAGGAAAAGAATCAGACCAAAAAATAATAAGAAAGAAAAGAAGGGAACAACCCATAGCATCTTCTCAATCATTTCCTTTTTCTTTTCTTTATTTATTTTTTATTTTATAAACACCTGTCTCTATCTTCTAGCAGAAAAAATGAATAAATAAATAAAATCATCAACTCACTTGCTGCTGTTCAGAAGCATCCAGAAGAAAGTGAACTGAGCCAAAGCCACTTGCTATGGTTTTCTCATAAAGTGTCTTGTTGACCAGAAGCTGTAATAATGCATTTCTTATAAAAATCATGTGGTAAACTAAAAACAAAAAAGGGTTAGTATGGCAATAAAGACGTCTACTTTTGTTCAAGATCAAGATCTCCACAGAAGACAGAACAAACTTGGTGAACTCACTTGATACCTATCCCATGTCTGTTTGTAACCCTAGCCACACGGGTCATATATTATAAGAGCACTGATTGCAATCACGTCTACTGGGGATGATCCCAGTGTAGTAGACCACAAGAAGTGCTCATGTGGCAATGTTGGCATTGTTTAATTTTTGCTTAAATTCAATTTAAGTTCATAGCTCTAACCCTTCCCAAGCAATTAGAATAATCTTTTGTGACCTGTTCTTTCTTAGCTTTTCTAAAGGACTAACAAAAGTACCTTCAAATAAATTTCTCTGTTTGATTGAAAATAGAATCTAGAAACAACCATTTAACATGTTCAAATATAGTAATTTATAATTAATTAAATGATCACAAATATCAAATTCCATTCAGCATTTGCAGTGTTCAATTGTTTCACTGATTAGAAATATAAAATGGAGAAAACAAGACAAACCTGGCCGGTCTCTGCTTTAAGCAAGATTGCATAAGCCAATATGGCTTCCTTGTACTACATATTGAGAGAAGGAAAAGAATCAGACCAAAAAATAATAAGAAAGAAAAGAAGGGAACAACCCATAGCATCTTCTCAATCATTTCCTTTTTCTTTTCTTTATTTATTTTTTATTTTATAAACACCTGTCTCTATCTTCTAGCAGAAAAAATGAATAAATAAATAAAATCATCAACTCACTTGCTGCTGTTCAGAAGCATCCAGAAGAAAGTGAACTGAGCCAAAGCCACTTGCTATGGTTTTCTCATAAAGTGTCTTGTTGACCAGAAGCTGTAATAATGCATTTCTTATAAAAATCATGTGGTAAACTAAAAACAAAAAAGGGTTAGTATGGCAATAAAGACGTCTACTTTTGTTCAAGATCAAGATCTCCACAGAAGACAGAACAAACTTGGTGAACTCACTTGATACCTATCCCATGTCTGTTTGTAACCCTAGCCACACGGGTCATATATTATAAGAGCACTGATTGCAATCACGTCTACTGGGGATGATCCCAGTGTAGTAGACCACAAGAAGTGCTCATGTGGCAATGTTGGCATTGTTTAATTTTTGCTTAAATTCAATTTAAGTTCATAGCTCTAACCCTTCCCAAGCAATTAGAATAATCTTTTGTGACCTGTTCTTTCTTAGCTTTTCTAAAGGACTAACAAAAGTACCTTCAAATAAATTTCTCTGTTTGATTGAAAATAGAATCTAGAAACAACCATTTAACAAGTTCAAATATAGTAATTTATAATTAATTAAATGATCACAAATATCAAATTCCATTCAGCATTTGCAGTGTTCAATTGTTTCACTGATTAGAAATATAAAATGGAGAAAACAAGACAAACCTGGCCGGTCTCTGCTTTAAGCAAGATTGCATAAGCCAATATGGCTTCCTTGTACTACATATTGAGAGAAGGAAAAGAATCAGACCAAAAAATAATAAGAAAGAAAAGAAGGGAACAACCCATAGCATCTTCTCAATCATTTCCTTTTTCTTTTCTTTATTTATTTTTTATTTTATAAACACCTGTCTCTATCTTCTAGCAGAAAAAATGAATAAATAAATAAAATCATCAACTCACTTGCTGCTGTTCAGAAGCATCCAGAAGAAAGTGAACTGAGCCAAAGCCACTTGCTATGGTTTTCTCATAAAGTGTCTTGTTGACCAGAAGCTGTAATAATGCATTTCTTATAAAAATCACGTGGTAAACTAAAAACAAAAAAGGGTTAGTATGGCAATAAAGACGTCTACTTTTGTTCAAGATCAAGATCTCCACAGAAGACAGAACAAACTTGGTGAACTCACTTGATACCTATCCCATGTCTGTTCGTAACCCTAGCCACACGGGTCACATATATTATAAGAGCACTAAGCAAAGGCATGGAGCAAACCTATTGTGAATTTGTAACTAAGAGAAATTAACAAAGTACAATCAAGTCTGATATATTTCACAAGTGACAGTTTTAAGGTGGGCAGGGATCAAATTGAAGCTGGTTTACAGCCCCAAATTAATATACAATAGGCAATGAAATGTGAATCCCAGACCATGGAATAAGAATAAGCCAGCACCTGTATACGAATTCTATTACTCTGTTCCATGCTATTGCCAGAAATATTTTAGCATATGCAAATCAGGTTCCCTTGTATAAGAGAATAAATCTCATCATCATTAACGAGATAAAACCCCCAATTTATGTTTTTTTACTAGCTAGAGAAGCTTTATTAATTGCCAGGATGTAATTGACAAAATGAAACATAAAACTTTTCCCCAAAGCTCCATAAATTTCTCCTACTTTTCCTTTTCTAGTTTGACAAGTGTTTTTTCAAACATGGTCCTACACACCTTCAAAGATATGTAACAAAAATGCCCTAGTTATCATTCAACGAGGTCTTGATAAATGATAATTAATTAATGTGGTGTGGTTTATGACCCAAAATGATCATGACTCGAAGCGATATCCAACGGCTCAGTTTATTTATTCAGATTTAATGGTTGGAAGTCTAAATCAATATGATGTACACACCCTTTGAGGGACGTGTATTGTAATTTTCCCATTCAAAACATATTGCAAAATGAAGGGGGGGAAAGAACGTGAATGGAACTCTAATATGGTCATCAATTTCTTTAAAAAAAAAAACAACGCCCAATTAGTATACATTAATGTGTGTTTGTGAAGGAAAAGATTGAGTACACATCTAACATTTGGCATAATGTACAAAGTGGTGGTCCCAAGGCTTGAACCCATAACCTCAAGGTTATTAGGCCAAGTCTTAACCATTGAACCAATGGTCATCAATTTCTTAATTTGAAAAATGTGTCAAGTCTCAATTTTGAAATGGTGAAAAGTCGTGTTACAAAGGTAGTTTATTTGGGGTTAGTTTGCGATCCAGTAATATAGTACATGCATATAGAAGAAGTCCATGAACATTAACTTACACAATTATTGGGCTCATGATGCTCTCAAGCAGTGATCTAGATGGAGTTACCAACTTCCGGAGACGATTGGATGTTCATTTTCTCAGAAAAGTAGCTGGACCAATATGTAATTGTCTACTTCATCATCTCAATCTGATAGGTCACAGATTTCTCTTTCCAAAATTCCTTCTCCAGATATGTTTCATGAAAGTTTACCTCCCCACTTGCTTTGACAGACAATGCAGAAGTGCTTCTCGTCCCATGGCGCCCCTATGTACCAGAGACAATTCAGAGTTTTCATAGCAACAGGCAAGCACGTGGAAAAGACATGCACACAATTACAAAAAGGAAGAGGGGGAGTTTTAAGTACTCATATTTACCGAAGGAGTTTCTTCTTCAACGAAAATGGAACTCATTTGGTATTCTCTCTCTACAGGATAAATGTGAGGTAACATGCTTTTGTCATCTTTAACAGTGTCTCGGGGAATTGAGAGGGAGAGAAAGAGAGCTCAGATTTGGGAAATAAATACTGATTTTTATTATTTTTTATTTTTTGAAGAACACGATTGGGACAGAAAAATGAGATGGTAAAATAAGTTTTTGATGTTCAAAAATGATTTTTTGCGACCGTTAAATAATCCGTCGCAAAAAAATAGACGCAAAAAGTCATATTTCTAGTAGTGATGGATTGCTGGTGGAGGTTGTGGGTGAACCAATTGAAAACCCAAATACATTGTTTTATTTATTGTAGCATTATTGACTTGAGCAATGCATTATGATTATTTGGTTTTGTTGGAATCAACTCCCGAAGACCGCATGTTCTTCAAGCTCACATGATATTAGATAATACTTAGGCCTAAAGGTCAATGTTGCTGGAATTGTTATTGGAAGTTTAGTAGCTTCTGTCGCTATGGTAGCTAGGGGACTATGAAGCACGGATACTTCAAATAGGAAGACGTATCCGTATCGTATCTGTATCGGATACCGATACTTACGGATACGTATCAAATACTTATTAAAAGTATCAGATACATCTTAATTAATTTTTCATTAATTTTGAAATATCGGATACTTAGTTTTGAAGTATCGGATGCTCCAAGTCATATATTATTGGATACTTCTTTATTAATTTTGAAGTATCAAATGTTCCAAGTCACATATTACTCCTTTTATGAAATTAGAATTGTATTATTTCTTACATAACATCATAATATAATATAATTGCGAGGATAAATAGAATATTTTTACAATACTTTGCTTATTTTTTTTTATAAAAATAACATAATGAGCTAAAGTAATAAAATGCATCAAATTGACATATCTTCATTGTACCATGCAATTCCCCTATAACTACATAGAAGTAAGGATTAATAAAATAATATAACAATAGTAAAATTATATATCAATAAATAAATAAGTAAATAAATTTGCATAGAATATTTTTGACTAGTGCAAAAGGAAAAAGCATAGGGTCAAGTTGTAGATTGTTTTGATATTATAATATCAACATATTCGACTTGATATTGAAATGAAATATTTGCAAGATCTATTGAAAATTTAAAAACTAAACTAGCTATCGCTTTAAATTAATATCTAATTCTTAAAGATTAGTATTTTGCATCATAAAGTTACTGTGGTTTCTCAACATTTTTGAGCTTATGTGTAACTCACTGCTAATAATTTATTTGTTTTTTATTTTTTGCAAACGTATCCTAATCGTACCCGTATCTTACTTTTTTAGGTTTTGTTGTATCGCCGTATCGTACCGTATCGTATCCGTATCTTGTATCCATATCCGTGCTTTCTAGCTAGGGGAAAAGCTGAGTAGAGATATCTAGATCTAAGACAAAAGAATATATATTTGAGTTTAGGGAAATTTTAAACCGCCATATTTGAGTTTAGGATAAAGTTTAATGTTGTAAGAGGGGCTAATTTGAGCCCACTAAATTATTTAGGCCCAATAGCCCAAGATTAGTGGGCCCGAATTTATCGCAAGTCCAAGAATCGGTGGGCCCAGATTTATCGCCATCAAACGGATTGAATCGCTCTAAGCCTCGAAAGGGTTCGGATCCACGAACCTAGAGACTTACTCAGGCCCGGATCGAACGGATTCAGACGCAATCTAGAAGTCGCTCCGTTAATGAGTCCCAGAACACTTGCGGGCTCGGAGGAATCATCAAAGAGTCCAAATCCGACAAATCGTTTTTTAAAACAGATTTTTTGAAAGAAGTGCCAAAATAGACTGCTTTGCCAGATATAGAGTCGCCACCTAAATATTTATTTTGGAAAATTTAGGAAACCCTGACTCGTTACCTAAGGCCACG